TGGCTGGCGAGGAGTCGCGGTCTGAAGTCGGCTCCGGTCTCTTCCTGACTTTCCTCGTTACCGTGACCTGTCAAAAGCGTCATTGTGGGGTTCTTTTAATCCTCGTTTTTACACTACAGCGATGGGATTCTATTTGGCCAGCAAAGAATTACACTTTTCTACTCGTATTTCGTTTTTTAAGAAAGACCTGCTACAGTTTTTAAAGGCAAGATGCCTCACCCCCTACAACAGCGTCTTCAACTCAGGTTAAGAAAAGCAAATACAAAACGTGCAAAGCATCCACAGACGAATTTGAATGCAATCCCCGCTACCCTGCAAGCATGACAGCGCATTAGTTTTAAGCAGGCTGGCTCTGCCTTCTGAGAGGCCGGTGGACAATTAAGTCTAAATAAAGATACCTTATCTTCAGCATTTTCGATATCTGTGGTGTCATCCCCTGTCAGAGATGACCTCCTTCTCCTCTCCTGCAGTGCCAAGTGTTTTGTTTTACACTGACGTTTCCCTGATGGCTTCTCACACTCGCTGTATTTCTGCAGCAGAGATGCATGTTGGAAATCCTCCTCTTCGTCTGTGTACAGCCCATCTGTCTTCCGGCTTTCTTTAATTTTCTGCTGTTTGGCAGCCAACCTCGAGGCTGGAGTACAGCTTGGCTGAGCCTGCCTTTTGCTGTTTGCATTGGTGGATGAAAGGCTCTTCATGTGCGGAGACACTGGGAATACGGGCAAGCCTAAATGGGAAGGAAAGGCATTACACATTGCATGGCGCGTTAAAAGGGAAACACATTGCTAGCACTTAACACAAGCTCCTCGACTGCTTAAGAGATCTACCAATTACATTTTCAAATCATTAATATTTTAAGCGTCCCACAGTCAAACCGTAAATAGCATCTTGCCAGTTCGCGTTATGTTAGCGGTTACAACGCTCCGATAAAAATCACTAAAAGAAACGCCCCGCGCCAGGTGCCGGGGCACCGCAAAGGCCGTACGGTGCCGTGCCATGCCGTGCCGTGCCGTGCCAGCTCGGCACTGCCGCAGCCCAACAGC